CAGAGAACCATTAACTAGTCATTTGGGTTAAGTTCATTTCATGCACTTGGCTAAGGTATAATCAGCTAGATTGTAATTTAGTATATCATGCAAACATGGCCCAGAAATTTTCATACAAGTAAACTGAGATTCTGAATTCAGATGCTATACATAAAAGGTAGAAAACTGAAACCTTCCAGAGGTTGCATACAAGTTCTAGAATTCCATATCATTGGCCATGCTGGTTGGGGCTGCTGGAAATTGTAGTTCAGCAGCTTCTTGAGACTCAAGGTTCTCCCATCCATGAATTAACTACAACTGAATTTAACATGATTTATTTCAAAATAAAATGTGCATAACAAAGTCCGTGCAAGGACCGTGGCCAGAAGTTTATTTTAATCATAAACTGTGTCTAAGTAATAAGAGATTAGGTTTAGACACTGCATTAAATCATAAAACATGAGTTACAAACACCAAAGGCTGTGCCCACAAATTGCGCAAACCTCAAAGTAAATAACCATGTTATAACTTTGGGATGTGCAACCCTAGCCAATTATAATGGTCTATTCAGAGCCTGATAAAGATTGAGGAGACAGTTTTGAAAACAACCTCATGTACATTTTTCAGTTATCTAGGAAAAAAGCTGGTTTACAATAAAGCTGCTTGGAAAAGACCACCCTAGCAAACTAAAAGCTAAATTGGGCTTTAAAGTGAAAGAAATCCAGTTGCCGACATCCCTGTAACTTTGTCCCATTTACCAAGACTCTGACTGTTCCTTTAAAGCCAAGGTTTTAAAATTCTAGCTTAGCACACATATCAATTCAGCCAGCGTAAGGCAATTACCTATGTTTTGAAAGAAAAAAGCAGATAGTCAGTAAAGTTTGGGCACTTTATAAGTGGTGGTGATGATGATGATCATTGTTATCTGTTATTACTATACCAGCTCCTACGGGGAAGTAGCAAAGAACTGCTCTGAAAGATTCGGGAACTCTGTTCAGGGTAGAACAGCAACCACTTTGCCTCCTGATGTTGAGTGACCCAGCCCTGACAATCAAGAGCTCAGCTGAACTCCAAAATGCCTCTCAGACAAGGGCGCCCCAGGACATGCTTCCCCGCCAAGGTTTGCCATGAATACAAAAATAGGAGCCGAGCTGGACGGGAGACACAACAGCTACTGTTTAGCGGGCTAATGTGCTGTAAATACCTTCTCTGTCTTCCTGTGCTGCTACGCTGGGCAAAGTGGATTAATGTCTGTCTACCCATCACCAGCAGTTTCCTAAAGAGTTAAGTCACTGATGGAGAAGTTCTCTGGTACTCACATAGGGAGGAGGTCAAAATAAATTTGATTTGGGGCCAGTCCCTCTCTCTCAGCCCTAGGAAGAAGGCAACAGCAAGCCACTTCCAGAAATATTACACAAAAACGGTAGGGACTCGTCCAGGCGGTTGCCAGAAGCCGATACTGCCTTGAAGCCACACATTTCTTATTTCTTTCAATGACTACACATGGTAAGAAAATGTGAAGATCGCAGAAATTCAGTATTTGCCAAAACTTACATGCCCAAAATTAGGTGAAACAGATTTAGATTCTATCCTGGAAGGTTACAATCAGCAAACAAATATTCTAGCATAATAATATAATTTATTTCAAATCATAACAACCTGGATTATCCACTATGGTAAGCCCTGCTTTGTTTAATCACTGTTTATTAAATAAGCCATAATCGGCTGCATTCACACAATGTGGACAAACAAAAATCAATATAGTTTACAACCCACACTGGTTTAGTTCACTCACTGCTCTAAAGCAAAGCAAACTTATTGAAATATGAAACAGAAGTGAAAGGTTGTATGATAAAGTGGGCTATAATATACAGATGGAACAATGGGAAAATATGTGCCCGAAAGGATTGAAATTTACATTATGTGAAAATCCTAAAGAGAATTTTTATAAGGTGGTGTACCATTGGTGTTTGTCGCCAGAGAAATTGTCTAGAATGTATAAAGGCACTTCAAATTTATGTTGGAAATGTGGACAAGGAGGGACATTTTGTCATGTTTGATGGACGTGTAAAAAAGCTAGAAAATTCTGGATTCAAATACATACACTGATTCAGAGGATTTTAAAGATTAATATACAAGTGGAACCAGAGGTTTTTCCTTTGGGACTGATGTACAAACAATTGGGAAAAATGTCATGGAACTTTGTTTTTGTACATGAAAACTGCAGCAAGATTGTTGTATGCATAAAGATGAAAAGATTCAACATTATCCACAATGGAGGAATGGTTGAAAATGATGGAACGTGCTGAAATGGCTAAATTGACTTCTTTGATCAGAGAAAATACAATATCTGCGTTTATTGCTAACTGGAAACTCCGTAAAAACTTTTTGCATGAAACAGAAAAAAATGAACTTATGATTTATGGTTTTGATGATTATACAGAATAAATTATAGAAAGAGATATATATTGTAACCATAGAGTAAGAGGTAAATTTATAATTGCACTTATAACTGCTGTAAAGAAGATTGGAAGCTACTTCTTATCTTTTTTCTTTCTTTTCTATTTTTTTCTTTTCTTTCTTCTTTCTTGCACTTTTCTTTGATTTCTTTCCCTTTTCTTTTTCTTACTTTATATTACTTTTATATATATATTTACTATTACTATTACTATTTTTATATTTATTTATTTATTTATATATATATATATAAATAAATCTGTTGCAATGATTTTAGGGTTGCAGTAAGCATGATGCATTTTTAATCTGCTTTTTTGGACAGGTGTTTCCCAAAGAATATCACAACAGGTATCCTAGAAGATATGCAAGGCCAAGAGACATGGGGAGGTGGGGGGAAATCAAAGCTAGTCACTGGAACCTGTTCTCCCTCATTTTAATCCAACACCTTAACCACCAGACTGGAAAATAAAAGAAGTTGGATGTGCCGCTGAAACTGAGGCCTGGCTTAATTTTACTGCATTAGTGATTTTACCTGAATAGAGGTGCTGCAGCTGAATTGACATTTATCCTTGCTCATATGTATGACAAAGCTTCACTTTTGCAATTTTGGGAAAATGAGGTCCTTGACATGGATACCAAAGATGTTCTTAAGTGGGGGTCAACAAGCCTTTGTCCTTTTCCCCAGCTGAATGGATAGACAAATCTTCTTCATCAGGTCTTTTAACAATCAATTCCCTTAATGATTTTATTAGTGCTTAGAATTTGCTCTTTATTTGGATGGACTATTTTAAATGGAAAACCATCTTAAATATTAATTTCAAACAGAAAGCTGGCACATAAATCAGATAGACAAATAAACCTTAAATAAACCATGGCTAGATCCCACTTTGATATCCTTCTGTCCACAGTTAAATGGTTTTTTTTAATTGAAAATGTGTTCAACTATCTTGGCAAGATAAGCAAGAACATACATGTTGCA